AAGAGGTAATTTAATGTCTGAATCAGGTGTGTTGGAGCAGGAAAAACATCAAACCTGCAGGGCTGCGGCCCTCGAGCACCAGGATTGCCCACCCCTGCTCTAGAAGATGGTTGCCGGATCAAATCCCGGCACAGGGACCTTTCTGGGTAGAGTTTGCATGTTCTCTCCATGCATTAGTGGGGTCTCTCTGGGCTCTTTTACAAAAGGTACTGACTTTAAAATGGTCAAACATCTGAAGCAAACAGAAATCCAGGACCTTAAGTCAACTGTATCACAACTTACTGCGCATCACTGATTAGATGACATTATATTTTTAAACTATATAAATATACTAATACTTGAAAACAGCCATATCAATATATATAAAAACTAGAGCCTCAACCAGCTCTGTCTTCCAAAAACTGAACCACCACCAAACTGTTTCAGCAGGTCTGTAAACCTTTYACTGTTCTGCCTTGATTCTTATTACTGATTAGCCGAATAAAAGCCTCGGTGACGTATTTCCGGTCACAAAAGCACCTGACACCGCCGGAAGTGAAGCTAATCAGCACAGATCCAGGTGTTTCTGAGGATGTACTCACCGCTTCCAGGCTCATGTTTAAAGTTGAAGCACGAGACAAAACTTACTTTATTTAGTTTTATATTTGCTACTTTGACAGGCAGCTCCAGGACAAGTCTCCGGTTCCTCCCGCGTTAGCAGCGATGCTAACTGGTCCTGACCTGGAGTGGCTAAAAACAAGAGTCCTGCTGTAGCCTATCATTGCTGACAGATTGGATTTTTTTAAAATCAGTTTGTGTTGTTTATTTGTTTAAATCAGCGTTACCTTCTTCTTCTGTGAGGTTTAACGGCAGTTGACATCCATTTGGTGTATTACCGCCATCTACTGGAGCTAGCTCTTACTACTTATTTCCTCTTATRTAGACCYGTTACCTTCATATAATACATAAAATATTTCCGCCCACCTTTACTAGMTYCCCATTCCAATACTTCCTTCAAACAAACAGCACTTGTTATTCCAGTGGACATTTGGTCCAGAAAGCGTTACCTTCACCTTTCCGCGGTCGTGTATTTCAATAAAGCCCCGCCCCCAATCAATGAACTAACCAATAACAATTGAGCAGTAGTTAACAGACATGAATGTCAACCAATTAAAACTAATCTCAGTGATGTGGGCTCCTCCTCCAATATTCATTCATTTAAAAACTAATATTAAGTGTTGAAGGTGCTTAATGATTCCCAGAATAACTTGCACTAAGTTTGTTTACAATCACAATGATTAGCCCCAAAGCATTTGATTTTTATTGTTAAGCTCTTGCGATGTTTCAGTAATAGTTGCCATTTGAATTGCTGAGAGTGAGTGAGAATCCATGTTAGATTTTTTTTTTTAAATCTCAACATAGTTTACAATCAACGACGAACCTGTTCAACATATTTGGGACTCCCAGCTTAAACCACACAGGAACAAAAAAAAACAACCCTGCATTAACTCATGCTTCTGTGCCGATACGTGTGCTGGGAGTAGGGTCTGACTCAGCTTATCCACATAAGCTTTAGAAGGTGCTAACTGGTTTATTACCTAATCCAGTTTAGGAGATGAATCCAGCTCATAATCTAATATTCCTATAATTGATACTGGCTGTATACATGAACCCCTGACCTTAGCCTTTAACTTTAGCTTGCATGCTACAGCAAGAAGAGCTAAATGCTACTTTTACTTGTCGCTAAYATGCGTCAACTTGCTACTGCCTGCTGTTAAAGGTGGAGCAAYGTTTTTGCTTGTATCATTAGCATTATGAAGCAGGGGGGCACGATGAATCAAACCCACAGTGTTGTTTAATCTGTTTATCATTAAATCTTTGCTCTGCTTTACGTTGAAAACAGAGTGAAACACTTTTTAAAGGCAGCACTGAGATGCAGAAATACATGTAAAATATTTCAAAAACAATAAACCAAAATAAGTTCTTACATTCATAACACCGAAACAAAGTTTTGATGATGTGTTACTTAGAAAACCCAACAGAATTGGATTTTTATAGAACTGATTCTTTTTTTTTATTATTTTTGGTTTGATTTACGATAAGCGAACAGAATTAAGCACAATCCAGCTGGAGCAACTGGGTGTTGCAAAGTTTATGTAAAAACCCGAAAAATGACAAGATCCATTACACCAAACCAGTTTAACACGTTGTAGAAAGATTTGTCAGGCTTAAATATATAAACAAAAAAAGATGATGAAAATATGCAGCGAACCAAACTGTTTAAGGCAATATGTTATAAATAATGGCACATGTACAACTTTTCCTAAGTTTTTCATTTGGTTTGACAAACAAAAAAATGGAGGAAATAAGGTTAGAAACATTAGTAGTTGTTAAAAAACATAACCCACTGCYACTAACTGTGAATAATCTTTGACTGACAGCAACTTATTATCAAATCAGAACTTAAGTTTATCACTAATAAAACAAAACAAAGACAGAGGGTTCATCTTAAATTAATTAAATGATAAGAAATTCTTCATGTTTAAACAGATTAGAAGTATATAAAGTTTATATAAACCCTTTGTACCCAGATAAATGTAGCTACCTATGAGTGTACTAGTTTAATACCCAGCCCGGTGTCCAGTACAGCTGGAGGAAACCAAGCTAGTTTACACCTCCTGAAGCAGCGCAAGAAGACGCTACACAACCAGAACAGGTTGAGGCCACAGCACCAGTTGGACAGGTAAACTAAAGGATAGGTAGCTTTAGGAAAGTGGGTCTTCCAGTGATTGGCCACGTCACTTCCTGTCGGAAGGTGAAGGGTGTAGTCGCTCCACCTTTTCGACACGCCGTACGCAGCCGTCACTGTCCTTCCCTTGTCGGACCACTGGGTGTTGCTGTTGGGATTGCAGTTAAACTCCACCCACTCGGAGGTGAAGTCGCCGAGCATGGGGCCGCCTCCGGCCTCCGGGTCCAGCCTGGAGGCCGACAGCTCGGCCCCCTGCACYGCCGCGTAGACACAGTCCGCCTTGCGCACTTCCTTGACCCACGGGAGCGAGTGCTCCGTGTCCAGGACCACGATGAGTCGGGAGCCGTGGTCGGCGTTCTTCTCCTTCCACATCTCCAGCAACTGGGCCAGCTGGAAACTCTCGCTTCCTGAAACCGGAGAGGTTTGTTTGTGAGAGACGAAGGTTAATTCACAACTCACCCCGTCTGTCTAACCTTTCTGCTTTCAGCCTAAACAGTAGTGGTATCCCAGTTTGTCTGAGGTTAAAAGAGGTCAAAAAGGGTAGAGCTAAAACAAGTATTTCTTTAGAGGCACACTCCAAAAACCTATGGGCTAGAAATCTAGTTTAACAAGGCATTTATGGACATAATGATGTGTCTGTTTACATAAAAGCATGTTCGCAACAGGTGTTAGTGTTTCGAATTCTTCAAGTTGTAGTTAGACAACGATTAAACATAAACAAGCCATACATAACAAATCTCTTTTGTAACTTGTTTTATTAATAATACACCAGTTTGGACTCACTYCTGCTGTTTCACTTCAGGTTTTGTGCATCTACCAGCTGTGATCAGTTGAATATAGTTCAGGGGTTCTTAACCTTTTTGACCTCGGGGCCCAATTTATTGAACATAAAGCGACATGAGGCCCCGTCAGACATTACCATGTGGATCAAAATGATAATTATTCTAAATCTTGGTTTAATTTGTATTGTATTTACATTATAACTAAATTAAAAACACTTAAAACTCCTGTCAAATAATCACAAGACGTGAATATGACGATTATTTATATTGTAACCTGCCCATAACAATTGTTTGAACAAATACAAAGATCAGTCAACAGACCATTCAGGCTTGTCAACACACAAATATATATGTTTTTACATAACAAAAACAGACAATTCAATAAATAAAATTGTGGGCATAAAATAAATAAATTAAAAATGTTAAAATGTTTCAAATACAAAAGAAAATTTAAAATAAATTTGATAAAGTACAAATGAAAATAAAGC